GGAGGGGATGGCAGATCATCTGCTGTAATTTACTGAGCCTATTTACGCCTATAGCCGGAGCCCTGGTAATAAATGCTATGATTCAGACGTCAGATGAACTATAAATCTGACTGAGCTGCAGTTAAGACTGTGGTTTGTGGTGGCAGGGTGGAGACCGGAAGTCTTGCATTTGTTAACAAAAACGGAAAAAAAAAACCCTCGGTTCCTTTCGGCCTTCCCTTCTGGCCGCTCCTCTCTCTTTCAACGGTATCATGAGGGCTAAGACACCGGGGTGAAAATGGGGGTGACAGGAGAGAAAGGGAACGAGCTCTCTCCCCCTCGTCGGCATGTGCTGTAATGCACCTCGGCTTTGTGCTGCTTTGGTAACAGCTCTTTTACAGACATGTTAAGACCTGGGAACTATTAATCTCCAAATGCTGAAAGCAAGCAAGCTCAGGACTGAAAGTTCAAAAAAAAAAATCACACCAATCCCCCCCAGAACAACCTGGGGAAGACGGCAACCAGGAGCCAGCAAACCAACAAGCCGGCCACGTTCCCGACACCCATCCCGCCGGCCAGGGTTACGGCGCCTGCTATTTCTTCCTCGCAGCCCTCCACCCACCGAACAGAGCCCGGGAAAATCCCAAAGCAAGGAGGGTGGAAACACAGTGGTTAAATCAGCAAGTCCATCTGCTCTGCTTTCTGGGCCTTTTCACTATTAAAAAGTCTCTTCCCTGCTCAACCCATGCGTTTTACAGTCCTCGAAGTCTGTTTAGTACAACGCTGTGCTCTTTAAAAGAAAAAAAAAAATCCAGCCACACACTTTTAAATTTCCTCATTTCTATGCCAGCGAGGAAAATATTTCTCCAGTTGCTGGAGGCAGCTACTAAAAATGGGCCCGACTGCACATGCTAGAAAACTGGAAAGATAAGCAACTGCTGATCATCTGCCCACCGCGACCGGGACTGGAGGGGGCCGGGGCGCAGAGGCCTGGGAGTCCCGTCGATTTAGGGGGCTCCAGAAAGAGAGAAACTGCCTCCCAGGTTTGCAAGAGTCAATCTGCCTCCTTTTAGGTGTGCCCTGGTTTGTCTTTCAGCCTCCCCCTTCTGGTGCCTCACAATACTTTGTTTCATATAACTCTATCCCACTGAAACCTGGCACCAAATAAGCAGCAAGCAGGGGAAAAAAAGCTGAGTGAGGGAAGGGGAGGGAGGAGAGGAGGTAGTAGTGGGGTTGGGAAGAGACCAAGCCACGATCAAATTACCTTTAACCTAACCTTCTGCAACTTGCCTCCGTGTACAGTCTTGGGGAAGGAAAGGGGGGAGAGCTCACACTTGACTACTTCCCTGTGCGAGGAGACAGAAAAGGCATTTGCTTCCCTGAAGGAGAAATTAAAAAGAGGGGGGGAGGAAAGCAATTTTGAGAAAGAAGGGGGGGACCCCAAAACCAGGAAGCGCAGCCGAGCCAAATGCCCTGACTGTAGCCACCCTATTTCGTGAAAGCAAATCCCTCAGACTGCATTTTTCCCTTTCATCTTTGCAGCCCGCCAGTCCACCCAGCAATTTGCAGACAGACGTCAGTAAAGAGAAGTTTGCAGATTATGTTAATTGCTGAGCCCAGATAAATTGCAGCCTGTGTGCACGTGCCTCTCGCTCTCCCCCTGCACAGCCCGTAAAACCATAATCTCATCGCACACTGGGTGCAGCGTCCTCTTTCCAGGCTCTCTGCATCCTGCTTTGCTTTTAAAACAGCCCCTAGCGCGGTGCCCTGGGGGTCAGATCCTGCGGGTCGAGTCATCGGCAGGCAGTGGCGACCGAGGTTCGTCATGGAAAGTTAAGAGTTACACCGGGGCTGGCCCCAGTTACGCTGGTGTAACCTGGAGGTGACCGCACCAAAGGCCAGACTGAATCGGGGCCGAAACAGATACGGGTGTAAAACCGTGTGGCGGCAGACCTGGGTTGACTCTGGATTCACGCTGGCAGAGCGCACATGAGAATCAAGCCTGCCACACTTTGGAGCACAGGGAGTTATAAATTGTTATGTGTATGCATCCAAGTTTTTTTTTTTTTTTAAAAGATATTTTAACTGGCTGTTTGTTTAAAGAGGCAGGAAAGAAAACCCATGCTGTAAAAAAAATTAAAAAAAAAAAAAAAAAAAAAAAAAAAGCTAATCAGATGCCTGGAGCTCACATTTTTTTGTTTTACTGCAGTTAAGGGAATTTTGGAACAACCCGCACGGAACATGCTGAATCTCACCGAAATTTCTTTAAGTTTGTATTTATTTTCTCTGACATAAAAGCACCCCTTTCAGGGGAGGGTGGCAGGAGGGGGGATAAAAAAAAAAAAAAAAAAAGCCCATTTCACCTCATGTTTGCACTTGCATTAGAGAAGACCACTTAACAAGTAGCTCATTGCCACTTACAAAGAGTTATTTAATTGCCAGCGCATAAAAAATGCTGCCCTGGCTATGAATGAACAGACCTTTATGGAAGCCGGGAAGTTCATGAATGAATCCCACTAGGCTTTTCAATGACATGGGGTGACCAGACCCCAAGGACAAGTTTTAGGTAATCAGAAATTTTTTTTCAATGAGCTAGTGCCAAAGCACAGTATAAATATGTCAAAGTGCCTTCCGTTCGAGGGGCCGAGCTGTTGGCTGGCCCTCTGGTCGTGAAGCCATGAGAATATATGGGGAGGGCTCAGATAAACAGGGTTAGTCCTTGCTGCTGGCCAAGTTACAAAGTCACCAAAGATGCTTTTCGCAATTATTTTTGTCCATCGCTATGGGCCGATACTACCTCCGTTCTCCACAGTATCTTGGCGCTGCTGCTAAAAGGTCTTGTAAGCCTGTAACAAGCTTGGCTACATCTTTTGACTGGTGTCCGTAAGAGGAAGATTTGATGAGGGGACGAAACTTTTCCATGGTGAACTCTAGGGGAAGCTGGGAAATGTCACCCAAAGCTTCACCGACCTGTAGCGTTGTTGCTCCTTGCTCTAAAGCACTCCCCGTCCGTACCAGGAGGCAGCACATGGTGACCGAGGAGCTCAAAGCACTTCAGAGGTAGGTGCGATTTCTGTGCTGTGGTCCTGTTCCCTACCCCCCGCC